TTTTACAAATTGATTAGAATTCATTTACAAATTGTTCGTTGGAAAAATGTGTAACGTGTCGCGTAAAATTAATGCAAGACATTATAATCACACGACGATGGTTTTATTGCAGTGAACACATAATGAATATAAAACAAAAATCAATCGTTGAATTTCTCGGTAAAACGGAAGATATATTACTCTTATAAAATATTATTCCATAACAACTGAATTAATTTAATCTTCAAAGAAGTTTATATCTGAATTGATTTCTTCATGGTAGGGTGGTTGGAAGGAGGAGGGATGTAATCTCTGCATTTTCAAAATGCTTCTTCATCTGAATATTTAATTTGTATTCACAAAAGCAGACTTTGAAATATCTCATATTATTCTTTCTTACTTGTTGACAATACTACAAGAACAGATGAAATTTAAAAATTTGCTTCGAAAAACATGTGCATCATGTGAAAGAAGTTAAATTCTGTCTGCAACATTTGAACAGTACAAGTTAAGTGTAAGAATTAGTATATTATAAGAGCATGATACCTATCATTTGTCAGGTATAAATTAATCTAAATTGATATAACAAAGCAGTGACTAATTTTTACCCCTCCTAAAGTGCAGTGATTAACAATTTGATCAGAATAACGCCCATTGACACGATTTTAAATTCGATAATTTGTCACATCTAAATTAGCATTTTAATATATATAAAACTGTGTGATCTTATAGAAAATATATCTTTATTTTTGTTGAAAATAAGATGGAGGAAACACCAGTGCAGATGGCAAAATAAATTAATCTTAAAAGATCAGGATATCAACGTACCAGTACTACATAATGCTGGTTTCCATAATAGTGTTCTTTATGAACCCATGCGACTTTTCATTTTCCATAAATATTTTAATTTCCAAAAATATGACGATACAGATCATATAAAACAAAATACCGATTACAAACCGTGTTCGAAAATTGAAATTCATATTCAATAATAATATGTTTTATATGTGATAATTTTTGAAAATATATGTGCAAAATCACTAATTGATATTCGAAAAAGTAATTTTTATTAGCCAGATTGTGGAATTCCACATACGAAAGTCAACTGCTTACTGCCAACTACAAACTGCTTACTGCCAACTGAAACTGCTTATTAGTTAATACTGCCTTTTTTATTTTAATATCTTCAATACGCATGCTCGAATAAATCCTATAAATCCCATGACAGCAAGAAATGATTGCATTATTCTGCCAACTACCTCCAAGTAGTTTTTTTTTTCAAAAGTTAACTTATTTGAATGATTTTTTCATATTTATATAGATATTTATGTTAATTTTCATAAAACATTACTTATTTGGGAAAAGAAGGAGAGATAAGTCTTTATATTAGTAAAAAACTTCAAAATCAACGGAAAAAAGAAATGTTACTATTTATTTTCAAAACACTCCCATCCCTTCACCCCCTTTGAAACAATAATTCCTTTCTACAGGTATTATGAACTCTTATTTCACAAATTCATACCAAAAGTTTGTTGTTTCACGGAAAGGAGGGGGAGGGACATAAAACAGGAAATTAGTTAATTCATAACTAATTTCAAATGAGATGGCAAATTAAAAAAATGTACTTATCAATCTGATATGTTGAAATTTACATAAGTTAAACATACGGAGAGATTTAAGAGTCATTTATCCATTTCCATGAGTAGTTGAAAATCTGGTGATGTTTAAAAGTCTTATTTTAATTGATGAAATATATGGAGATAACGAACAGTATTCGAGCTCAAAAGTCCATTAAACAATACAAAATGGAAGCAGAGCAAACACGGACCTCCAAAACCTCAGAGGTGGGATCAGGTGCCATGGAGGAGTGAGCATCCCCTGCCGACCGGTCACACCTACCGTGTGCTCCTTGTCATAATCGGGAAATAACGGAAATATCCGTCGACAATTTAGTATGTAAATAATGGCCTAACAATTAGTATGAAAAACGTCAGTCAGCATTTAACTCAATGATAAATTGTATTTGCTGACAAGGTCATTGTATCGACCATAGAACTTACGAAATGATGACTTTAAACGAGAGTGCTGATATTCTTCTTTCATCAATTTTCATCAACTTGTTTGTCAATAATTTACCTCGTTTTAGAAATTGAACATTCGTAGAGCATGCTCTTGCGTATCGAACCAACTGAGAGATATAAACCCCGTATGCAGGTGATGAAGGTTTATTGCTGCATAAGTAAGGGAAGTTGACGATTGAAAGGTTAAAGTCATCACGTTTATCATAAAGCTTGGTTATTAGATTACCATAAACGTCTTTTTCAAGTAAAATATCCAAATATGAAACAGATGTGTCAGATTCTGTGGTATCTTTTATCTCAAGATCACCGAGATATACATGCATCGTATCGATATAAGAATGGAAATAACCATTGTTAATTGACAATACGTCGTCGATATTCTAAATGTCGAGTTGAAGGCCACAACAAGTGTTTTATTATTTTCACGTATAAGATTTTGGACAAATTCTGCTTCATATGAATACAAAAATAGATCTGCTAATAACGGGAAGCAATTGATACCCATGGGAATTCCAATAGATTGTTGAAAGACCTGGTCTCCAAAAACCTCATAAATATTGTCAATATGAAACTCAAGCATCTTTTAATGTCAACTTAAGAGTACTTGTGTGTACAATCAGAATGTTTTTAACAAAATAATTTTGCAAATGACAAATGACAAGGTAAGTAAATTTACGAGTTCCATTTTTATTGAAAAAAGCAGCTGTCAATGATATCAAAAGCCTGGACTTTAATTAATCGTGGGGAATGGTTGTGTATAAAGTTGAAAAGTCGTAAGTTTTTAAGCTGTTGATTTTGGTAAAATCTTGCGATTTCAAATTTTCCAAAAGTTCCTTGGAATTTTTAAGTATCCACATCTGATTTACACGACTTCTCAAATATACTGTTGCACAGTACTCTTGAAGTTTCTCTTTCACTACTGTCAATATCTTAGTGAGGTGTAAAGAAAGAGGCTGGTTGAACATTTACTGAAACCCGCTATGTAATTTTGTTTGTAAGGATTTTCTGAAGTTTCGGAATCCAGTATAGATATGGTAATTCAAATTCATTTTGGTTGTTTGGAATATTAAAAATATTCAAAACTGAAATATGATTTTGAAGAATTTCTTCCTTAGAAAGGGAATTATGAGTATAAGTTGGATTACCACTTGTAGAATTATATCCAAGTTCCTCTAAAATACATTTAATATAATGAGCCTTACAAACAAAGACAATGTTGTTACCTGCTTTGTCAGCAGTGACCAGTACGTACTGATTATGTAATCTATCTAATTCTTTTTCACTTCTTTTCTAACCCCTTTTGAAAGGAGTTGTAAATAAGAGCAATTAACTTTTTGACACTGGGTTTGATATTAATCATTACTAATAAACTATTCTTTGCATTCAAACAAGTTTTAATGGCCAAATTGCTATTTATATTGAATAAATTGGATGTAAAATGTAGGCGGGAATCGAGAGTTAGCATGCGTAGTTCTAACAATAATAATAAAAACTGGCGGATTTAGGAATTTTTAAACTGTGAAGGCGAGGAAGGGGTAAATCGGAAGAAGGAATATTTCCGCTTAAAAACAAAACACTTAATTTCAACAATTCCTTGCCGGCAAATAATCCAATAGTTTTTTTTGACGCGGGGTGGGGGTGGGTTGTCACAACGTCACATACAAGAAAAGAACAAACTATTAGTATAGTCTTGGATATCATTTGGTGTATGTATTTATGCTAGAAATATTACTGAAAATTATAATAAAATAACTTTTGCCTATGGTAAAATATCCTGCATTGTCTTTTAGTTTTTTTTTTACCCTGTGAAAAGTACCTGTATTTGTGAAATCTTAATATGTGTCTTATTTAAATCTTTTTAATAGCTAATGTCATTAAAAAAATGGTGTTGGTGTTGGTGGTGGTGGGGGAGTAGTCCTCAATAAATTGCCAACATATTCTATACAGTAGTCCTCCCTCAATAATGAATCCTGTGTCCTTTTTATTGTGTTCCCCGGCACTGGAATTGCTTCCTTGCCTAAGATAAACTGTTTTTACATGGAGTTTACATGGAGAAGCCTTGCATTATGATTTTTCATTTGTATTTCTGGTATATGTGCAGATACGTACTAATGCTCCCCAAGATCCTACTAAAAGTTTAATTGTCCTCCACGACCCCACCCCACCCCACCCCATTTTTTGTGACGTTATATAAATCTCTCCCCCCGTTAAAAAGCAATTGAATTATTTGCCTGCAAGAAATAGTGGAAATTAGATGTTTTGAATTCAAGAAGAAATACTCCTTCCTCCTATTAATGCCTTCACCGTTAAAAATCCAATTTTTGTCATTATTGTAATATTCTTGGTATCATAAGGTTTATTCAAGTGTGCGTATTAAAGATATTAAAGATAGCAAAGCAATCAATACCATATATTACCAGTGGCAGTAAGCAGTTGGCTGTTGTATATGGAATTACATGTAAGATTGGACCACATTTGAGAAGGTATAAAAACATGAAGCTCGTTATAACAAGACACCTAACTCGTTAGAATGAATCTCCCTATAACGGTAAGCATCTTTTTAATAACGAGTTAGTGCCCCATTAGAACGAGTTTTCTCGTTATAAAGAGTAAGAGGGTCGTTATTATACATATATTACATGACTTCGAGGGCAGCATACCAGAATATTTGCCCCCGAGGTGACAGGAAAGCCCTGGAGTGTTATGTCGCCCGATGCCGAAGGCAGAGGGCGACATAACACTCCAGGGCTTTCCTGTTACCGAGGGGCAAATATTCTGGTATTGTTGCCCGAGAAGCCATGTAATATATGGTATATAACATTTTTAAATAACCAAAATCGGTTATCGAACATATTTATTGAACACTATGTACACATGTACATATCTGGAAAAAAACTATTAATTGTTTAATAAATAGCTGATTCGTTGGCACTGTTTGTTTCAATAATAATGGTAATGAACATTAACACTGCTGTTGTTAAAATGCATAATTGGCGCCGGCTGAAATTTCTGAAAACCGTTTTCTTTTCCCTGATAAAGGTTCAAGTCTAGTGTTTTTGTTTCTTCTGTAAAAACTGTTTCAAGAAGTCTTCGTTCCTGTGAGTTTGTAATATCAAGAAAGTCCATATCTGTAAAGAGATGGAACCATTGTAACCACAGTTAAAAGTTAAATTTAAGGAAAGAAATCTATGATTCGGTTATTTACCTTCAAAGCATAAATGTTCGTCATGTAGAGGTGACGGGGGAGAGGGAGATTTGCTAGCAGCGGCTTTGTTCTCAACTGTAAAATTTATTATAAGAAAAATTGCTTAATACAATACTTATCTGTGAACTTGGTAATTTTTTTTTTTTGAAAAATTAAACTTTATTTAATTAATTTTATTTTAAAATATACTATTTTTTTTTACATACCGAGAACAGAGTCTCCTGTTACTGCCTTTGAGATTGTCATGGCCACGTCTAGTTTTTTTCTGTCGTCTACATGGGCTGCGTAGCTTCTTATGCTGCTTTCTGACTGGTGTCCAGATATACACATTATGTGCCGAGCTTCGAAACCAGATCTATCTAGTTCTGTTATTGACGTTGCGCGCAAACAGTGGTTAGTGTACATCTTTGAAAGTTCGGCTTTTTTGGATAGGTTTTTCATTTTATCCCCAAGAGTATTTTTCCCCACCGCTATTTTATCATACTTAAGTTCATTTCCTTTGCTGGGTCTCTGCCAAAGTACATCAAGATCCTTATTTAATTTATCAATATAAGACATAAACGAAGTATAAGGACAAAGCGGACTGTCTTTCAGTTCATACATTCTCCCTCCTTGGCTGTGAATTTCATCATTTTTGTGGTTTTTTGTGGCATGATCTCTTGCAATGAATACAAATCTTCTGCCTTCATCGTCAGTACTTGTTGAGAAGTCACTAATTTTTAATTCTCTAAGGTTTTCTCTACCTCTGTTGCAAAAATACAGCATGTAATCTACGAAAACTTTATTCTGTAGTCCTTCGGCTTCCTCTAAGTTGAAGGAAGTGTATAGTTTTTGAAGATCCGATCTTGTAATTGGATCTTTGTGCACAACAGCTCCTTTACCTTCTTTTTTTATCTTTGAACACACAGCAAGAAACACATTATTCGCCTCCTTGAAATCGATATCATTTACGATGTCAACTTTTCTTTTTTTGAAAAAATGTTTTTGTAGGCCATACCTTATTGAAATCATACTTCTCTTTGCATAGATTTCCCCTTCTGAATTTCTCAACCCCCCATAGAATAGCTTAAGGAATTCCTGCAGCTCTGACTTGGGCGTCGAGTATAATTCCGAAATATCCCGTCCTGTTTCATTGCAGAATGTTTTCAGCACGCTGACACTTGTGTTGATAACTTTCGTTGTATTTACGGAATTTTTCTCCTCAATTAAATTATCAAGTTCCTCTGAATTCAAATGAACAAAACGCAGACGTTGTCCGGACATTTTTAATTTTCGCGGAACTGTTTACGTTTGCTTAGCAACTGCCTCTGTGAATTTCGAACCCGACTTAATCAATATTACAGAATGACTGCACGCGAGGGAATATAACGGTGTTCGGGAGGGCAATATAACTGTTTCCGGTGTAATATAACTATATCCGGCGTGATTCAGCAGTTTTTCAGGGCATATGGATAAAAATATCGTATTTGTGACATAATAGGAAAACTTATTCAAAAATGTTATATAACGATATGTTAACTTATGAGAGCCTCTCAAATAATAAGAGAATTATTTCGTTTAACATGATAAATTATCCGGAGAATGAGACAAATAACTCATTTTTACGAGTAAGCGAACTTGTTTTATCTAATATATATATATATATATATATATATATATATATATATATATATATATATATATATATATATATATATATATATATATATATATATAAAATTATTAGTCCCCTTTCGGTGAGACCTGAGGGGACTATAGGTTTCCTCTGCATCTCTCCGTCCGTTTAGCTGTCCCTCTATCTGTCTGTCAGTCTGTCCCACTAGGGTTTTCGCACTTTTTTTCCTAAACGCTTGCAGATATTGAGCTGATTTTAGGTATTTCGTTCCGCTTCAATGAATTTTGAGGGAATATGAGAAGTGATGTAAATCAGATGTGGATACTAAAAAAATCAAAGGAACTTTTGGAACATTTGAAATCACAAAATTTACCAAAATTAACAACATAAAAACTTACGACTTTTCAACTTTATACACAACTACTAGTCCAGATTTTCTGACATCATTGACAGCTGCTTTTTCAATAAAAAGGGAAGTCGTATATTTACTTACCTTGTCATTGGTCATTTGCAAAATTACTTCGTCAAAAAACAATCTGATTATACACACAAGTACACAAGTACTCTGAAGTTGACATTAAAAAGATGCTAGAGTTTCTGATTGATAATATCTATGTGGTTTTTGGAGACCAGGTCTTCCAACAATCTATTGGAATTCCCATGGGTACCAATTGCGCCTCGTTATTAGCAGATCAATTTTTGTATTCATATGAAGCAGAATTTGTTCGAAATCTTTTACGAGAAAAGAAGAAAACACTTGTTGTGGCCTTCAACTCGACATTTAGATATATCGACGACGTATTGTCAATTACCAATGGTTATTTCCATTCTTATGTCGACACGATATATTCCGCTGAGCTTGAGATAAAAGATACCACAGAGTCTGACACATCTGTTTCATATTTGGATATTTTACTTGAAAAAGACGTTTATGGTAATCTAATAACCAAGCTTTATGATAAACGTGATGACTTTAACTTTTCAATCGTCAACTTCCCTTACTTATGCAGCAATAAACCTTCATCACCTGCATACGGGGTTTATATCTCTCAGTTGGTTCGATACGCAAGAGCATGCTCTACGAATGTTCAATTTCTAAAACGAGGTAAGTTATTGACAAACAAGTTGATGAAACGTTGATGAAAGAAGAATATCAGCACTCTCGTAAGTTCTATGGTCGATACAATGACCTTGTCAGCAAATACAATTTATCATTGAGTTAAATGCGTTTTTCATACTAATTGTTAGGCCATTATTTACACACTAAATTGTCGACGGATATTTCCGTTATTTCCCGATTATGACAAGGAGCACACGGTAGGTGTGACCGGTCGGCAGGGGATGCTCACTCCTCCATGGCACCTGATCCCACCTCTGAGGTTTTGGAGGTCCGTGTTTGCTCTGCTTCTATTTTGTATTGTTTAATGGACTTTTGAGCTCGAATACTGTTCGTTATCTCCATATATTTCATCAATTAAAATAAGACTTTTAAACATCACCAGATTTTCAACTACTCCTGGAAATGGATAAATGACTCTAAAATCTCTCCGTATGTTGAGCTCGAATACTGTTCGTTATCTCCACATATTTCATCTCAGAATGCTTGTTGAATGAGAATAAGAAGTTTTTACAGTATGAGAACAAAGTATTTTATATGACAAATAAATTTTCGAATATGAATATCATTTTGAATACAAAGAAAAAGATATGTGTACATAAATTACAAATCTACGAATATGAACAATAATGTTTCAATATGAATAAGAAATTTTTGAATATATACAATTATAACGTTTTCTCGAAAATTGCTCAATATTTGTATAATAATTCAACTTTTACCCCACATGAAGACTGACATTTTGACGACAGCTGATTGCGTCGGTCGCGTGACGTTGTGGATAAAGCGTTTGTTCTAAAGTCCTAATCCGTACGTTGTAGGTTCAAATTCTACTGCGGGACGTGGAGATCGGTCCTTCGGATGAGAAAGTTTAAACCGAATTCCTGTGTCGCAGTAGGTGCTGGCACGAAGAAGATCCCTCGCGTTTTTGAAAATATATTTATTTGCTTAATTGTGCTCTATAGATAAATATTTTCGCATACTCTTGCTAGTGTCGTTTATAAAAAAAAATTAAATAATGTGCCCATTGACTTTTACGGACAGCCCTCGTACATGTATTTGCCATTGTCAATTAACAGTCAGTAATCAAGTTTCTTGAATTTTATAATTTAATAATTATAATTGTTTTAATATAAAATAATATGTGATAAATAAAATATAAATCTCTATTTTCTTTCTGTACTTCTGTGGTTATTGTTAACAATTTTGCAGTGTTTGGGTTTACTATTGAAAATCAAATCAAAATCATTTACAATGTGACAAATGTTATAGTTTAAAAAAGAATCTTCTGTTAAAAAAAGACTTCTTTTGTAAATGAGGACATATTATGATACAGCACTTTTTTACGGAAAAAAACCAAGCCCAGATGATTTATGCACATAAGTTTCAAATTTCACAACTACATGCTTTGTCCCATACATCGTCATACTTTTCTACTTTTCTTAAATAAAATTGATTGACTTGGTTTTACTGTGGTTGAAATATAATGCGGTTTTCCTTCACGATAGTTACATACATGTAGCAATTCAGAGTTCCTTAGTACCAATGCAGATTATTAAAACAACCTTAGAATATTCTTCTTTTCATTATATTATCATTATTGAAATATAATTTTTTTCCTACCGTTGTTCTGATAAAATGAAATTAATTAAAAATATAAATGGGTAGAATGTAAATGTAAATAAAACATATTTGAATAAAGGACATAAAGAAAAATAGAGCTTTTGAAAGGAACGTCAATTCATTCATGCCATATTATACCTTGATACTCTTTGCTTACAGAAAAGGTTGCATGGACTTCAAGACTAATTTAAATTTTTTTGTATGAAAGATTTTTAAAAGTGTAAAAAATTAACATTTTCATGAATGTTCAACCAATGGCAAGTGGGTCAAAAAATACAATATTTTACGTTCTTCCAAATATTTTGCATGAAAAAAAAGATAGTGCAACTTAAACTGAAACTAAAATGTTTTATCTTATTACATTAAACTTATTTATATTTATTCAACATACGATATATTCATTCATATATATATATATATATATTTATATATATATATATATATATATATATATATATATATATATATATATATATATATATATATATATATATATATATATATATATATATATATATATATATATTAAATACAATGTATGTGCATAATTATATATACAGGGATCCAAAACGATACAGATTTTTCCTCTATTATTAAGACAAACATTTTCTTACAGTTATAATGTATAATGCAATAATAGTGTTTCCATTCTTTTTCTTAGAAAAAAAAATCAAGTTGAAAATTTCAGTAAAATAAAAACAGTTCAGAATAGCACTATAGTACCAATAATTGTTCAAAGCATTTGTTTTTTGAATAATTTCGAAAGAAATTTCTTTATAATAGATGTAGATTTTATACATAATTATAGAAGTAAAGTAATAATCAGAAAACGCGGAAATAGAAATCTTGTGAAGAAAAATTAAATCCATGTTTTCGTGATTGAATGGATCAATTAAGTTGACCAGCGGGACATAATAATACTGCCTTCCCATAATTTTTTATTGAAATACATGAATAAAACTTGGTATTATAACTACACCAAGTTTTATATTTCATATTTTTTTTTAGGAGGACAGTATTATTTATCGTAATTAAGAATATATACAATCAGGAAGAAACATAAGGCATTTGCAGCAGTTTTCATTTCTACATTTAAAAAGCAATTATTTTCGATGAAAATCTATATCGAAAACAATATTAATGCGAATTTATTTCTTGAAATATAGTTCTTCCCTCTGTGGTCATTAAACATTGTAACTGTAAACACTAAATACAGAATCTT